TTGATGAAGCTGGGATCCAGTTAAAAACATGCCTTCTAAAACATTCAGCTGATGTGGCTGACTGTTCTTACTTACAGGTTTATCCAGAAATGTGCTCAGAGTGTAAACTTTTACCTTGTTATGGTTTATTAGAATGCTGATATGTATTTGGTTCTTTCTTTGAACTTGTTTCTCATACAGGTTCTTCTGTTTAATGTTCTTGATGAGCAAAACAGCAACCACTCTTCAGTGGAAACAAGTAAACATGATTTATCTGAACTGTTGAAAGCATGGGCTGTTTTGTGTGGGTTAAGTATTTCAGTTCACTTTTTATTGTGTCTCTGGCAATGCCTCTGTACCAGATATACTGGAGAAATATTAACAGCACGTGCAAGGAGTTGTTACAGACCAGCTTACCCACAATGAACCTTCTCAATGTATCCTCTTCATCAACAGTCTCCTAAAAGCAGCATAAGCTGTTCAGAGAGGGTATCCACAAACATTTGTGCACGACTGCATCACCTCCTGCCCGGCACAGACCATTTGTGTGCCCAGTTGAAATATGAATATATTTGCCTTCTCCATTAGCACTCTCTGGAATGGTGGTGCAGCCAAACCAGCTGTGTTGCAGCCAGTGAGCGGCTGTTACTACAAACACAAGGGCAGCTGTTTTATGTAGGGTGATGGACACCTGCTCTAGCTCTTGTGCTTCAAGCTGGAAAAACTCCAGTCTGTGTTTCCTAGTCTAAATTCTGAGACTCTGAATTATATTTCAAATTGCTGTGTTTAGTTACTTCAGTTAAAATATTTTAATGTACAAGAAGAGCATACAAAACTAAATAGTAACAATAAAGAATATGGAACCCTTCTACTCAGTCACTTCTCAGCTGAATCAGAAAAATTGTTACTACTCAACTGCTCATAAGCTTTTGATAGGTATTTGATACCCATTGGAAATCAGCTTGAGATCAGAACCCTGATGTAGTTGATGAGTACTGTATAAAATACAGTCTGGAGTCGCTTCTTCAGTCTTGGAGATGAAACTGATTTAGCAGTCCCACTACAAAATCCTTCCTGAATGTGTTTGCAGTGCCTGTTGTAGGAGTTCTCCCTGTAGGCTTGTCATCCCATTCCAGTGCCTTTGACAGAAAAATTATTTCTGCTTTTATTTTTTCCCTTGGGATGATTGGAGAAATAACTGCAATCATTTCTGCATGTCTCACTGATTATCTAGTGGTCTTTTTTAAATCCTAAAAGAAATTTTTTTTTTAAATTTCAGATCCCGAATTTTAGGTAGGAATATTTTCTATCATGGCATAATTTTGAAGAGAGTTCTAGAAAATATTAATTATATGTTCTGGGTTAAAACTTCATGCTTCTAGATAAGCTTAACCTTTCCATAAATGATGCAATGAAAAAGCATGCTTATGAAATGGCTGAATGCCACATTTACTTGTTGGGTTCAAGACAATAGATGGGGCATGAGATCATGGGAATTTACTGTTGTACTTATGAAAGCCAAGCTGGTTGGAGAAGGCTGACATTAGTATATGAATTGCTAGCTGAGCACTGAAAGAGAAACTTCTTTTGAAACACACGCAGAGTGGCCTCCAACTCAGGGAGTTAAGCTGTTCACCTGTGCATTCTTGAGCTCTTTGGTGCTGGTGCAGAGTTTATTAAAAGATACTTTCCTGTGTTAAGTCTGAAGGTCTAGTGCCAGGGAGCTTTTAGCCCAGAAACAAGGTGAAAAAAAAAAGAGGCAAGAGTTGGTGAGTTCAAAGCTAGGGGTAGAGGTGGATCAGTGCTGTGGATTTCTTCTTGAGAACTTTGGGATATTGTCTTTGTCATATGACATTCCTTCCTTGTCTCTCTTACAAACCCAATTTCTGTATGTTCTTAGGAGGTTTCCCTCTGGGAAAGAAGGTACCATGAGGTGAAGGGTGGTGACAGTAAATAAATACTTGCCATATCAGGATGCAGTTAAGATGTTCCCTAAAATGACAGGAATGCAGAGATCTTGGAGGGAGTGGGAGGGATTGAACTGCAAAAAAATGGTTTGGGAAACCTAAGCTCAGGTCTGTTGAAGCCCGTGGGAAATGACTCTTGGACCATAATGAATATAATAGGGAAGGAATACCAGAAAGATTTTAAAACTTGAATAAAAAGTCAAGTATATGCTTTCTATGGCTCCCATCCACAGACTGTTGTACAGTTGGCTTCTGTACAGTTCTGTGTTTTCTTTAAAATAATGACAATTCATCTTTTATTTTCAATAAGCCATGAACATGGATTCATTTTCACAATATGAACATTTTACAGAAAAAATTTAGTTTGAGTGTATTACCAATCTATTTGTTCCACATCTATCTGATACCATAGTTAGTTAACAGATTATGTCTGGGAGGAATGTGTCTTAAGCCTCTACTTATGTTGTAAGTAAAATTAACAAATTTAGGAAGGGTAAGAGGAAATATGAACAAGTGCACTCTTGTTTCAGGGTTACAGGAACTGGGAGTGCCATGTATTTCATTTGTTACTTCAATAGAATCATCTTACTCATCTTCATGAACTTCTTAGGTCTTGTTCTTACTACCCTTCCTGTGTCTCTGTGAGGCATTTCCAGAAGGGTGTTTGTGTATATTAAGGTGGAATAGGACTTGCCTACCAAATAAAAAAGCCTGATTTTTTTTAGCAGACTTCTTAGTTCTCTTGCCATGAAACTGAGACGTTTTGTCTGGCCATAGTAGCAACTATGTTTTGCTTTTTGGCATGGCTTTCTCTTGGGTCTGGTCTGTACTTCAGAGGCAGAGATGGAAAAGGACAGTAATGTTTTGTAGCTGGGGTTGTGCCTCTCGGGCAGACCTCGTGTGGCAAGACCCTGAACAGCACGGCAGGGGTACCACACCTCTTGTTTCATGCCCCATGTTCCACACACTTGGTCTGAATCATAAACCAGTGTTGGATATTCTGTGTATCAGCATTCACTTTGAGGGGTCAGCTCTAGCCTGAGTGTAGTGACAGAATCTTGAGTTTGATTAAATGAATTCAGAACTAGGCAGTTTAATGAGGTTTTTTTTCCAGAATTTATTTCCTTGCCTGTTCCTACATCCTTTCTAGGTGGTTCTGGATGAGGGCAGATGCCAGAGAAAGCAATTAAATAGAACAGACTTTGTAAAAACCAGCTGTTTGGAGGGGGAAGCTAGGCATTTACTCAGCAACCTAAAGATGAAGGCCCTGCCTGACATGCAACAGTGGGGCATATGTGGGGAAAACCCCCACCACAGAAGGTAGGGTGATAGAGACTTGTCTTTGCATATAACCCGAAACACATGGTAATCATGTGCAGGTGCTCTCGACCTGAGAGTTGTAAACAGAAATCGGGAAATTGCAACTGCTCTGCCCTTCCTGTGTTGCTCAAGGGCCAGAGAGGAGGGGCCAGGGAGGGAGAAGCCTGGGAACTGCTGCTCAGTGGCTTCTGCTGCCCAAGAGAGCAGCTGTGTTGCCCGTGCCTCACTCTGTGAGTGAGTCTGGTGCAGGGCCAGGAAGGCTGTGAGGATCATCTTTGCTTCTGTGCCTTCCTCACTTCAGTGTACACAAGCACACTAGTGGCCATATACTGCTGGTTAATTCTCCCCATCCACCCACCCCTTGCAAAAGAAAAAACAAGGTGCTTCCTTGCCCTGATCAGTGCATGTGTTCTTAAAGCTTTCCTGGGCTTTGGAGACATGGATTTGGGAATAAATTATGGTATTGAGTGTCAGGTTTAAAAAACCCATATTATTTCAAGAGCTATGAGCATCTAGATTTCAAGTTGGCAATATTGGTTTGTTGCACAATAGCTTGTTAGTGGTGCTGCTTACTTTAAAGTCCAATAAAGCACATGAGGTGGCTTTGCTGAGTGGGGTAAGCTAGTGACCAGGGACTCTGAAGGAATGTTATCTTCCTTAACAGAATATGTCTTTGGTAGCTGTCAGTCTGGTTCAGAAGCATAGCTGGAAATGGAGGGGAAGGAAACAGGACATTTTTAAAAAAAAAGAATGCCTGGGTGAGCACCTCTGCACCTCTGTCTCTAGTAAAACACATCTGAATCCTCATTTAGTGCAGTGAAGAGTGAGCACCTCTGGCTGAGAAGGAAAATGACAATGTGGGAATAAGAACCTCTTGTTAAGGCTGTAAATAGCAACTGAATCTGTCAGTGTTAGCGGAAGCTGGGGTGGTTGTTGGCTGTCTTGATGGGTGGTGGGTGCTCCAGAGAAGCAAGAGTGTGGATGGGTGTTTTGATGAAGGAATGCCTTACAAAGTAGCAGGAGGTTTTATCAGCAAGACACAAGCACTTTTTGCAGCTTGTTAATGGTGGAAACATCTGAAGAATATTGACATGAATTTGTAATGTGTGTACTACTCCCATAGGAATTCAGGCACTTGGTCTCCTTTCTCTGAATAAGTTTTCATGTTCTCAGTAGGAAGAGGAGTTTCACATGATGGTAAGGTATTGGGAAATCAGGATATCTCACATGAGTTGCCTTGTTAGTTCTGATTGATTGTGCTATGCAGATAACCTGTTTTCTGTCTACTGTTGGGCAGAAAGGCCCAATACAGTCCAGTCTGCAATTAACTTGGTTTAAATCTCCTAGGTTAAATTATTTTCTTCCTCAGACTCATGTGGGGACCAGCAGGTGAGGAGAGTAATTTACCCCAGAGAAATGGGGACGTTCTCCCTATGTAGTTTCTTGGGGGGAGCCAGGGAGGGCATAAGTTCTGCATTGCTGTGGCACTAAAAATGATGAGTTGGTTGCTTAGAAGTTGTATAAAAATTGAAGCAAACTGTCTCTCTGAGATTGTCTTGTCTCACTCTATGATTTTGAATTACATACACAAAATAGGCCATTACAGAAGTAGTTAAAATTAAAGCAAACTGTGGTATTGCTGTTGAAATGGGAGTCTCTGGTTTGCTCTTTTTTTATGTGTGCATTTGGAAAAAAAGTCTTTTGAAACTAAAACTTTCCTTGTTGGTCTTTCAGACACAGTTGAGTCCATGCTTTCAGACTACGACATCCTTTCTCTGTCTAGCATCCAGCAACACTCACTGAAGAAGAGGGACCTCCAGCCTGAGACACATGTAGAAAGGCTCTTAAGTTTTTCAGCCCTGCAAAGGTAATTAAATCATCAGTGATGAAATAGCATAATATTTTCCTTCAGTTTCTCATGAGTAATGTGCAGTTTCAAACCCAGAAATTGTTGTCTTGTTCTCTGTCATGACTGGCCAGTTCTTCTAGGTTAGTGATCTGCATGGTTATGTGACTTCAGAGAGGCTCAGAGGAAAGGGGAAAGTAAATTCTCTTTTATTTCTCTGATGGCTGACATAACAGTAATTTAGGATTTCTTTTGCTTTATTCTTAGGTTTAGTTTCATGTAGATTACTCCTACTGATTAGGTTGGATCTCACTTATACCTGATCTGGCAATCTTGTCAGTTCTTCTCGACTGTCCTCTGGTTCTTGAAAATCTCAGCCTTCAGTTTGGGAAGTGTGTGTGCTCTGCTGCCCAAGAGATTGACTGTATTTAGTTTCATGGAGGTTTAATCCTTTTCCTATTGAGTATGTCCCATTAAATAAAACACTTATTTTCATCTTTTGTTTGTTTGGTTTGGTTTTGTATTTTGGTTTTTGTTATAAGATGGGAAATAAAGCTCAGGTGAAAAGGGGAGGAGAAATAGAAGGAAGCAGGCATGAAGATGGCAGAAATTTTATTCTGAGAGTCAGACAAATGCCTTGCAGGATATGACTGAAATTCACTGAAACTGAATCTGAAATGGGGAGCAGGGTCAGAATCACACTTTGTATTAGCAAATGTAGATCGATTTTTGTTTGAATGACATCCTTTGTCCTCTTTTATTCATGTGCCTTCCCCTGTGTCATCTTCAACTGTCATGCAAGTTATGCATAATTTTTGAATTTCTGAATGTTTGAAAGGGCATTTTTTTTTTTGAGTTTGGAGGGGCAGTTATGAAAGGTTAATGGGATCAGATGTCTGACTGTCCCTGTTTTGCACTGCCTCATGCACGCTGGCTTTAGGGTGAGGTTGCCGATGATGATTACAGAATAATTGCAGAGGAACATGCCAAAAATCTTTCACCCAAAGCCCACATAAACCAAGAGCCCATCAGGTTTCTTCCAGAAAAGGTTACCAGCCTACTTCTTGGGATAGTTTTCAGTTTTTGTGACAATATATTGTAAAAAATGTAGGGAGTTCAGATTTCTGTTTATGGTCTTTTGCCTGTATTATGTAAGAAAGTAAGAACTTAAAGATAATTTAATTTCAAATAGATGAAGAAATTTCTTGGTCTGATTTTTTTTTTTTTTTTTTTTAAATAGTTACCAGTAACTGGTTTTGCTTAACTGCAAATGAAGAAGGCACATCATGAACAAACTGTGACTGTTTTGGATTTAGGGGGTTATTTTTTACACTTTTTTTAAATTAAACATCTGTGACTCTAAAATATTTACAGTTATCAATTACACATTATATGCTTTTGTAGCCTTCTTATCAGAATTATTGCTTTTTTACTTTTTTTTGACCCTCAGTAAAATGGAGATTGAATGTATTTGTTACGTGTATACTTTGCTTAAAAATAAATGTAAGTAAATTCTTTTACAGGCACTTTAAATTATACTTAACTGCAACTGCTGAACACTTTTCAGAAAAATTTCAAGCATTAATTGTGGATGGTAAAGGCAAGCAAAAGGAGTATCGTGTTCAATGGCGAGACTTTTTCACCGGACATGTTGTTGGTTAGTATGAAGCAGACTATGGGTCAATGCTGAGAAACTGCAGCTTTGCTCGGGTCTCTTGGGTAGAGTAAATGGTGTATTTCCCTCATTTTGATCAAATGTGGTTAGGATGAAGAAATAATAATAATAATAATAATAATAATTCTTATCCTCTTGGGTTTTCTGGTTTTATTTGTGTGGTGTGTTTGGGGATTTTTTTTAGGTTTGGTGGGTGATGGGGTGTATTGCATCAGGCTCCTAAGACAGGACTCTTGTGTTGAGTTTGGAAGGACACAAAGGTATAATTTACTTAAGCAGCAGCTTGCAAATTTTTTTTTTTTTTTAATGCTGATGGTAGCTTTAATTCCAGCTGGAATGTAGGACTTGAATTGTTCCCTGCCCCAGAACACAAAGCTATGGTAGAGGTGATGCAGTAATACCCAGACTGTTCAATTAAAAGACTTAAAGATAGTTCTTTGTAGATTACTTTTCTGTAAAGAAAGATGCCGTGCTCCACTTCCATGCAGTACTAATGCTTCTGCTAAGTTGTTTTGATTTCTTTGTTGCCTTTGTGATGTGGTGAGACTTTTCCACTGGAATGCAGGCTGATGCCGTGAAATTGCTGTCTGATAGTAATTAGATGCACCTTGCTTTTGTCAGCAGAAATACTGTGTCCCCCATTACTAATCCCCAGAGCCATCTCAACACTTTCTGCAAAATTTTCTGTTAAATCTGAGTCTCACTGACTATGACTATTAGGAAGTTACGACTTGGGGAAAGTGCTGATTAATTTTGTCTTTTTCTTTAAATTGAACAGTACAGAGACTGAGGAAGGTAATTTGTCATGAAGTTTAGAAACAATTAAAAACCCCCAACAAGCGGTATCCGTGCAGGAGCACATGCAAACAGCTGAATTAATTTAATGCTTCCTTATTTATGTTAAAGGAGAGCATAATTCCAAGGTTGTGGCACATATTGGGGATGAAGATTTTACGGTGCGAATCAATACTGATGGAGAAGAATACAATATCGAGGTATGCTTTGCTGTGGAAAACTGTATCCAGACAATCACCTTCTTTTCCTCTGGGTATTCCTCTTCCTTGTTAGTTATGTTGACACTTCTGTAGCTCAAACTAGATTTGATGGTAGTGTTTGTTTTGGGGTGAGGAGAGAGAGAAATAAGAAGCCAATTTGGATTGCAAGTGTTGACTTTTATTAGTGAGCGACATTCTCTGACAGTTGCATGTTTTAAGTACATCAGGGAGAAGGTATATTTTAAACAGGAAGGGGTTTCAGAAACAAATGGATAATGTCAGAAATTGGTGGTGATCATGGCCTTTAACAAACTAGCAGTCTAAACAGAGTCAAAGTCAGTGAAGCTTTTTAAAACTGGCTTTGTTACATCTTGGAAGTTTTCCCATTTTTAGAGCTGCATTGAAAATTGATATTTTATCTGAAAATTGGTTATTTTTCCCTACTCCCTTGTTTTTCACCATTTTCCTTGCTTGTGTTATTTTGAACTCTTGGTTAAAAAAAAATTCAACAAATACATAATTAGAGACTGTAATAATGAGATGTTCATTGCAGTATATTCCCAGACACAAGCAGTATTTGAATGGCTGAATAACAGTAATTATGGCTGAGTGTTATATGGATATTGTAATTGTCTCCAAACCCAAAGATACGCAGAATTATGGGTAAACCTGAGAAATATAGTCATGTTAAAGTATAAAAATGTGATCAAAATGCTCAAATCACTGTACTTGAATTTTACATTGAGAACACACTGTATCTGTTTGCTTGTGATGTAAAGCATGTTTGTGTTTGTGCTCCAGAGCAGTTGTAGGTGTGCCTTGTTTCTCCCTGCAGCCAGCCTCCTGTTCCTGGCTGGCTGTGTCTGCAGCTGGGGGCAGGCAATGGTGTGCAGCCTCTGGCTTTCCCTGCTGCCTCGCTGGTGCTGTCCCCAGGTCAGCTTTGGCCACTGACAGCCCTGGATGAGATGATTCCCGTGCACAGTCTGTTCCCCAAAGGCAGCATGGACAAAGCTGCTCTGCCATTTCCTGCTTTTGTTTTCAAGGTAGTTGTGTATGGTTTAGACTGGCTGTGGGCTGTTGTGTAAATCACTGTCGCCCTCACACCTTGCCTTAGCGTGTGAAACCTTCAGTTTTCTGCTGCAGACATGTGGCTGCTGACATAGCACAACCTTCATGTTCCAGGACGTTTTTGCTGTGAAATGAAAGCACAGTGTTCTGAATGATGGCTGGCTAAAGTTGGAAGAACCCTGCTTAAGGGCCAGAGGAGACCCAGAGCCAGGTGCACTATGTTGTACATGTAGGCAGTCTGTGCTGCTTGGCTTTGGCCAAAGAACTGACCCTCTCTGTGTCATATTTGGTGGCGTTGCTTTAGCTCTGACATTCAGATAGAAATAGGACCTGTCAGTAAAGTAAAATATTGTGTGCATCTGCTATGGGAATTGGTGTCTTTCCTTGAGATTTCATGGTCTTCTTTGGTTTTGGAGACATTTTCATGCTTGTGACTTGGGTAGCTGTTGAACATCAAAGAGCCCACATTCTGCTGTGTGCTTAAAGGCTCTCCGTTACCTACCTCCTCCTGTGCTTCTGGTCAGTGCATTTGTTAGCAGTTAAAGATATTCTTCTGGCTCCATGCTCTTGCTGAGGGGAGCAGAGGAACCTGAGAAGCCTCTTCAGCTTGTTCAGATTCTGAGGAGAAGAAAAATTCTCTCCTATGGCCTTATCAGGTAGCTGCCACTACTTTGTTAAGATGCTCTCAGACTTCTGGATTCCCATGTAACACAAGAGAGTTTACTTCCGTTGGCTTTCTTGGGGATGTCATTTTATCAGTAGATTTGTTGGGTGAAGTGCATTTGTGTGTGTAGACAGAAAGCTATGGAGATACAATGGTGCATACATAAAGTTTTTTACTTATCTAGACTTTGGGTTCACTGTGTTCCTAACTTCTTGTGCTGTCAGCCACTGTGGAGATTTGTAGATGATGTGGAAGATGAAAGACTGCTGGTCTACAGATCTGAAGATATCAAAGATTTCTCAAGGTTGCAGTCCCCCAAAGTATGTGGTTATTTAAAGCTGAGTGAAAATGAACTGTTGCCAAAAGGACTGGAAGACAGGAAACAAAATGAAGGTGAGTGTCCATACCTTGAGAGAGCAGCATCTGTGAAACAGATCAGCTCTTTCAATTCACTGTGGGCATGGAGGGGGGAAGCAGTAGTCCTCATGCCTCTTTAAACAACTTTGTACTTCTGTGCACTGTGCAGCAGGACCTCTTTGGCCTCTGTGGTCACTCAAGGAGTCCAGCTTGAGCTATGATGGGGTTTTGAGAGTTTTTGGTCCCTCTTTCCTCTGTTCTTTGCTGTATCAGCAAAAGTTGGGGTAATGACTAGGAACAGGAGGAGGAGAGGTGTTAACGGCTGTGGTGATGACCATAAAAGCTCTGTAGGTAAATCTGATAAATAATTCAGTGCTATGCATTCTTTTCCTTACTGTAAGTTTGAGGACTGTTAGGAAGACAAAATTTAAAAATAGCTATTAAAAAAAAGCCCGAAACTAAAGTGAAACATCCCCATTGTCCTCCCAGGAGCCCACCCACACTCACATTCAAGTCTTAAATAAGGCCAGTAGATTTAGCAGAGGTAGTAGTATTGAGTGTTTGTTTGAAATCCTTACTTTAGGAAGCACCCATCGGAAGAAAAGATCCATTCCAGAGAACTCCAAAAACACGTGCAAGATGTTGGTAGTGGCAGACCATCGTTTCTTCAAGTACATGGGCCGTGGGGAAGAGAGCACCACTATAAACTACTTGGTAAGTAAATGTACCCTGTTAAAATTTGCTGGAAAACACACTGCTGCAGTAGTTAAAACAACATACAACTTATTCTTTTGTACTTTTGTACACACAGCTTTTACCTGGGAGAGTGCTAAATCATGCTTTAAAAATATTCTATAATGAGGCTAATGTAGTTCAGTAGTCTTCAAATTTCACTCAAAAGCAAATTCCTTCCTGTCATATACTTCTGTTGGCTATGCTGTTTTCTGCCCAGGAGCTTCTCTTTTCTCAGTCAGAGCTCTAGAATCTCCTGGATTTTGAAATCCACTGCAAATGATCTAGCCATCTTTAAAGTTCTAGCATGTTTAATGAGAAGTTAAAGCAACTCATATAGATCTTCTTTTCCAAATTCTTTCAGGATTTTCTGTCCAGAACAATAAATTAGAAGCAGGCCCAGTAAACACCTTGTTTGGTTGTACGCTGGTGGTGTGGATTAACCCCAGCAGGCAGCTCAACCTCAGGCAGCCACTTGCTCTCTCCTCCCAGATGGAATGGGGAGACAATCAGAAGGGTAAAGGTGAGACAACTTTTAGGTTGAGATAGAAACAGTTTAATAGCAAAAGCTGTTCCCAGCAGCAAAGCAAAACAAAGGAATTAATTCACTTCTTCTCATCAGCAGGCAGGTGTTCAGCCATCCTCAGGGAAGCAGGGCTCCATTGTTGTACCAATTACTGAGTGACCCAGCTGAAACACTGGCGTTGTCTATCTGACAGGTTTTCGTGAACTAGAACAAGGCCTACCCACAGCCTTTCAGCAGAAAGGGGGAGTATGGGGGTTTGGGGACTGCAGATTAAACAAAACAGGTTTGGAGGCCTGTTGTTTGTCTAAAATATCTTTCTGAGCTTTACTCTTTGAAATGCTAATTACTCTGTTGCACTTTTGCTGGCTTTTTGACCTTTCTGTCCCCAGAAATGCTTTTACATTCTCCAGGTGAGGGTGCCTCATTTGATATGTTTGCAGAGGTGCTCTTACCTCAGCATCTGATAAGTGCTGAGGCTGACCCCTGTTGTGTTTCCTGGGTAGATGGGTAATGTTAACAACACAGTGATTGGAAAACCAAAGCATAAACTATTATTGAGTGGTTCTGAATGTCACTTTCAGCAAGTTTGGTGGTTTATATTTAGTAGAAGGTGTTTTTTTAAGAGAACAGCTTGAAAAGGGAAGTATTGATTGTGAACACTGACAGGAGACTTTCTGGAACCTTGTGCCTGAATCATAATGAGGAAATAATAGGTTTTTGGCTGGGTGAGGGAAGCAAGCCTGGGGGGGTCAGTTAAACTAGTTAAGCACCATGCTGAAACAAAGCAGTAAAAACAGCTCCCTCCTCTGCCCTTCCCCTGAAAGAAATCTGGAAAATTAGTGTTTGAACAAAGTGTTTTCCAAAATGTCTTGTTCTTAATATTATTGCTATTCCGCTACACAAACAAAAGTGATAAGTGGAAAAGTTTGTGCTAGTTTTTTATGATGGAAAATTTTCAAGTATATTGGATAATACTGATCCAAAACCAACAGTACTTGGATACAGGGAGTTTGTTTTGTTACCTTACACAAGGTTCAGTTTTAATTCAAGGGACTGTTTCTGGGTAAGTGTGTAGCAGTTTTCTGAATGTCTTTTGCTCCATGAAAGCTCACTTGAGTGACTTGTTTTCTCTTCCACACAGATTGAATTGATAGACAGAGTAGATGACATCTACCGAAACACTTCCTGGGACGATGGAACCTTCAATGGGTACGGCATACAGATAGAGCAGGTATTCACTGCACTCTGCAGAGGGCTTCCAGGTTAAAGGAACATGGTTTTTAAACAGCAGTATTTCTGACTATTTTGTTTGGGTTAGAGCTAAAATAATAAAATCCTACATTATTAACTCCAGCCAGGAACACTCTGAAATAGCATCTTGCAAGTGTTAATGATCTGACACGATGCCCGTTTTCAGTTCCTTGCAGTGTTTGAGATGCAAATCTTTCCATATTTATTCCTGATTTTATATTTATTGAGGGAGAATCTTTCCATATTTATTCCTGACTCAAAAGTGAATTTTTCACCTGAACATGTGCAAATTTTGTTTCATTCAGACATGCTCATGCATTTATTTCAAATACCTGTTGCTAGTGCTTGGCTTACAAAGCCTTAGTAGGCCTGAAACCCAGGTGAAAACAATCTTGCCTGAAGAGCTTTAATGACTCCCTTAGACATAATGCTAGTGTAGAGTCTTATATATGGACACAGGGAGAGTCGTGACTTCAGTTTCTATGATGGTGTCTTGAATTTAGTGCACAGAAATCTGCAAAACAGCATTAAAAACAGGAGGACTCCATCAGCTCAGCATACTGCAAGAGCTGTCTTGGGGGACATGGAGACTAATGGTACAAGCCAGATGCCCCTTTCCTGGGAAAAGATCTGCAGGCATAAAGGAGGAGCATTACTTGGGCAGGGAGGGGGTGGAAAACATGATGAACTAATTCTGGGTTACTGGGAAAGGGGCAGTCCTTTAACATACATACTGGTTAGCTAGAACTCTGAATTTATTTGGTGTTATTTATACTGATTGTATTTGTCTGGGTTTTTTCTAAAAGTAAAAGGCATCTCAGAGCAGAATTTTATATGAAAACTTCTAATGTTATCCTGTAAAAGGGTTATTTACAATGTAGTAATGATTTAGTTGGTGTATTTAACTACCAGGGGCTGGAAAGTTAATATTAGAATCATTCTGAGTCTGAATTTTTCTCCTTCGAGATCTATTGAGATATTTAAAATTACATTGAAACAACTTCTGTAGCTATAAAATTGACAAAAATTCCTTTTCGTTGTTGTTGCCCTTTTTGACATGTAGATTATCATCCACAATGAGCCAAATCCTGTAAAACCTGGAGAAAGACATTATAATATGGCAAGAAGTTACCCAGATGATAAGAAAGATGCCTGGGATGTGAAAATGCTGCTAGAGGTAGGTTGTAACCCTTGAAAAATCATGCCCCTTAAGAGAATTGCTCATTCATATGGCTGCTCTGTAGTAATGGGTGAAAGTCCTCTGCTCCCTCTGCATGATGTCTAGATGTCACACAAAGTCAAACCAGCTGCTGTGCCCTGTAGCCTTTGGTAAAGGGCTCCCTTGCATAATTACAGAGCAGACATTAATTAGTCTTATTAATGTGGTCTGAGTCAGGCAGTCCTGATTTGTCTGGCCCTGAGACTGGCTGCCTTGTGACCTTCATCAAGTTATTGTACTTGGCTTTTCCTGCCTGTGAAAAGGGAAAATGAATAGACAAGTTATGTAAATGAATGTGTACAGTGTACTTGAGCATTAGTTTAATTTCCTGCAGCTCTGCAGGACACTTAAACAGCTGCTGTTTTCTGACTTAACCAGATCTAGGAGGTACTTGTCTGGCACATTAAATAAATGTTATCTATAGACTTCTAACAAGTACTGTCAGCTAACAGGGATTTAACTTTTTTTTTTTTAAGCAATTTAGCTTTGATATTGCAGAGAAAGCAGCTCACGTGTGCCTTGCTCATCTCTTCACCTATCAAGATTTTGACATGGGAACGCTTGGACTGGCTTACGTTGGCTCTCCCAGACCTAACAGCCATGGTGGCATTTGTCCTAAAGGCAAGGCTTCTTTGTCTTCTCTCCCAGTTGTGGGTTGGAAGCTAGTTTTTGTTATTCATGTTTAATTCTTTCCTCCAACTTTCATGGATATTTGCACAAACTGTAGGAGCTGGATTTTTACATAGAAGGGATGGCGATTTTTTTTTTGTCTGGAGCTGGAAAAAGCAGGAAGGATCAAAGTCACTGAACTATCTGGTGTGAACAGACTGTATAGGAAAAAACCCTGTTCTATGGGCTGCTTTGTGTGGGCACATCCTGCAGTGCTTTTGGAATGGCAGATGCTCTTATCTTGGAAATTTTTGCTGATTTTGCCTTTACTGCAGCACATGAGCTGTTGGAGCTGTGCTTGAAAGATTCCCAGCTCCAAAAACTGGCAAGAGGCAGGGTCTCACTAGTGAGCCTGTGAGAACAATAAAGCTGTAAAGCTGTTAATTTCCCTGGACAAGTACTCCTCTCTTCCCAAAAGTACCCTGAAGCGCAAGAAAAATGGTTCTCAATTTTAATTTATTTCTCACTCTTTCAGCTTATTACAGTCAAATTGCAAAGAAGGATATCTATCTGAACAGTGGCTTGACCAGCACCAAGAACTATGGGAAGACCATCCTCACAAAGGTAGAAGACTGTCCTCCTCATATGTGTGTGCTGGTGATGTGTACCATGGGATTGTGACAAGCTCCTGTGCTCTGTCAGAAAAGAGCTGCTGGCTTTCCATTTGAGTGAGATCTCTAGGGACAAGGATATAGATCATGAAACAAAAATCATCTTTTTTGTTGTAGCTGACAAGGGGAGACAGGACTGAATGGAACTGAAAATTGAATTCACTGTGAAACAGGAACAGAAACAGCTAGTGTCTCATAGGAACTGTAGTTTCCTAGATATAAACATGTTTTTGTCTAAAGATGAATTTAAATGTGCTTTGTTTTAACAAAAAATCCCCAACTAACAAAATTCTTAACAAAACAAACCCTCAAACAGAACAAGGCAGACAAAGTAGGAGGCTTAGTTTGAGCCTTTTTATTAAATTCATCCACCTGATTTTTGTGTGTCCTGAGTAATTAGAGCAGAGAACAGTATAGTAGACAGGGCTTATTAGTGCTAATACTAAGCTTAATGTAAGTTGATGCTTGCTGTATTTTTTCATACTTTATGAGATAGTAAATGCACAAAGGCCTAAGTATGAGCTTTGTATCACTTGTAAAGACACCAGAGCAGTGTCTATGTCTTCCTCTATTAAATCTTTGAAGTTGGGCATATTTTGCTTTTGCTGGCTTCTCAGCTGTGCTTTTCTGTAGCATGATTATAATAGGAATTTATAATTGATGTGTGGGCTAAAACTTGGCACAGAAGCTGTCAAGAAGATAGGGGAAAAAAGACAGTAAAGCTTTGTGTTAGAGGGATGTTGACAGAGAGCTCTAGCAATAGCCGTTGCCATGCTATTTGCATTTGTTCCATCTCCAGACTGGAGTTGTGCCTTAGATTACAAAGGAGGTTTAGTTTTCTGTCTTCCCAGTGGCAAGCTTAGGGCTTGGGATGATGGTTCACATTGGTTTCACAGGGAAAGTGCTGCATGGTTTCTACTTTGGTTTAAAAAACAAAACCAAAACAACCTCCTTAAAACTCTTCTCCAAATGAAACACAGTGAAGCCCAGGAGGGATGCCTGGGCAGCGCTCCTGTCTCTGGCTCCCACATTAGCCAAGCTTAGACACAGACAGGGCAGCTCATGGCAGCGCTTCGTCCTTCCCGTGCCCACACAGCAGCTGCAGCGACAGTTCCTCTCCAGGACTGCCCAGTCTCCTTGTGGTTATCTTTATTTCTGTGTGAGTTTAATCTGTGGTTGTCATCTTGTGAGCATGACACCATGTGCTGGAGAAGGCACTGTGGGAGGTGCACAGCGAGCAGAGCCAGTTTGGGATCCTCAGCACAGGCAGGCGTGTCTTGCATAAAAGATGTTGGAAATCCATCGGCCACAATTGTAGGTGTCTTTCCTAGAAATCATGCAGTAGTGGAGTTCATTCAGCACTCCAAATGTCATCATCCATTTAGAAGAAACAACTCTAATGGCAAGATATGTTAAACAAGAGATTGACTAATTGTAGTAGCTGGTGTTTGTTTGGGTTTTGTTTTAACTTTTTATGCCTTCCAGCTACACAGAAGTAAATTTCATATTTAAGCATCTGCATTGCCTTGAAAACAAGTTTGAATTGGTATTCTAGGACAGCATTTTGCTTTTAACAGTGATTTAATGTTCAAATCTACTCCTTGAAGTTAACTTTGAAAAGGACCACAATTTAATTTACCTTCATTTCTCCAGAAAACTAGAAAAATGTTCATGGGAAATTCCCTATTGTTTTGCTGTATTTTAGTATTGCTAGTGGCCTAGAAGTAGCTGGGATCTTCTGTCCTTTACTGGTCAGACTAATTTTTTCCAACATTGTTTTTTTTCATGTTCAAAAAAGGAGGCTGACCTGGTTACAACACATGAACTTGGACATAACTTTGGAGCAGAGCATGATCCTGACAGTCTGCCAGAGTGTGCCCCCACTGAAGACCAGGGTGGGAAATATGTAATGTATCCTATTGCTGTCAGTGGGGATCATGAAAACAACAAGGTATGGTGGTTTAGTTTTGCATCAACACAAAAGTTTCTGCTGTGATCAGTGACCCTTTGCATGGCAAATCTATCTAGTTAATGATTCCTGTAGTTTGAAACCACCAGAATGTAATGGGTTAGCCATAAAACATTTGCATGCAGCGGGGTTCTCTGCAAGATAAGCTCATCTTTGGAGTCTGGGTTTCACTGGAATTCATGGCATGTCAGTGTGCGTTTTAATTAATTGTAATTATCAGTGGCCATATGCTGCTACAAGCAAGTCCCAGTAAGAGTCAAATCCAAGACCTTCAGTACCACACAGCATTGGGGTGGTTCATAGCTGCTGTTGGAGAGGGGCTGCCAGGTGCCACAGCCGTGGTGGAAGCTTGCCCTGGCAGTGTGGAATTGGCCTTGTGCCTGTTGTACAGATGAGAAACCCAGATGAGCAGGGGATGGTTGGCCTGCAGTGTGCTCTGACCGTGGCTGTGCCCAGCCCCTCTGCCCAGAGGCAGTGCTGTCTGTGCCTCTCCTCTTGCTGCAGCTTCACATCCCGTCCTGGGGCCGCTGAAGCGTGGAGAGCTGGAGTTGTCTCTGAGCCAGGCTGCGTGGGGGAGTCCCTGCAGTGTGCAGCAGTGTCTGTTACTGACCCAGCTGTTACTTTCCCATCTTAAAATTTTTCCAAGGCATCAAGCTGACAGTACAAAGGGAATAACCGCTTTCTGGGATGCCAGAACTCAGAGACATAGGGAGGCTGTGGTTGTCTTAGATGCCAGATGTTGACAGAAAGGTACACTCAGTGCTGCTTTATTCCCCTGTGACTGTAGATGTTCTCAAGCTGCAGCAAAAAATCCATCCATAGGACCATAGAGGTCAAGGCCCAGGAGTGCTTCAAAGAGCGCAACAACAAAGTGTGTGGGAACTCCAGAGTGGATGAAGGCGAGGAATGTGATCCTGGCCTCTTGTACCAGCTGGCTGATCCCTGCTGCACTGCAGACTGTAAACTGAAAGATGGTGCCAAGTGCAGGTAAGGGGAAATGAGCTGCAGCTTCTCTTTACACAGGAGAGAACGTTGGGTTGGGCTGAAAACTCCTAAAGCAACCTGCAGTATCACAGGCCTCTTTCCTGGCTTTTCACATTCACCTAAGGGTGAATGTGTGAGCTCACAACAGTGAAAGATTTAATGAAAGGCTTCTGTGTGTATGCATTAATTTTTATAGCATTCTATTTTCCTGAGAAGTGTCAAGACCCAGAGGCTTGCAAATTATTATTGTGTTGTCATTGTTATTACTACCATTATTATTGAGCAAACTTAGGTGATCAAAAAGCATTTAAAAATATCCTGTGCACACTTTCTGTGAAATACAAGTTTTGTTTGTATTGGAAGTGGCTTTTTACATTGGTACATACTGGTAATTCCAGACTGCTGCAAAATATGTTTGAGCAGACAACACAGTGACTGCACTACATGACTCCTCTTTCTGTTGTTGCTTTTTGGGGTCTTCATGGCCTTGTTGCAATGCAGTGTCCAATCTTTTTTTTTAATAGTTCAGCTCTACACCTCGTAACATCAGAGAGCTTGTGCAATTCCTGTTGTTTAGCAAGAAAATCCATGTGTTTTAATAATTTTTTTTTTACCAAGGGCCTTCTTGTATTAGGTGAGAAAATGAAAGTAAGGACAATGCAGAATACAAAGTAGGAAACCTTCAGGACAAACAGAAGGGGGAGAAGTGTTTGGGGAAGGAAAGGGTGAAAGATCTTGTCCTAAGTTGCAGAGCAGGTTACAAGAGGATGATCCAAGTGCCTTGAATAAATACAAGGGTCCCTCTGTTGTCTCTCAATATATTGTACCTTCTATGTGATTTGACCCTCAGTAAATGAAGAGTGAGCATGTATGTAGAAAGGTGGTTGTGGGAGGGGGCAGAGAGGACAAGGGTTGAATCAGTCAGTCTCCAAGAAGTAGCTTTTTATTTCCTAAACATCTTTTTTTCTGGCTTTGTCACAGGTGTACTTTTTTTTAAAAAAGTTGGTTAATATTTATTTATTTCATTTTGATCTTTCCCCAGTGACCGAAACAGTCCTTGCTGTAAAGGCTGCCAGTTTGAAAGTGCACAGAAGAAATGCCAGGAAGCCATAAATGCCACTTGTAAAGGAGAGTCTTTTTGCACTGGTAGGATGTGGCTTTGTCCCCTGTATGTCAGCTAGCCAAGTGCTTCAGGCTCAGTGTCCTGCTCAGCCCACTTTCAGACTAGTGCCCTTTAGTCATCCGGTGCATGTAATTTTAGAGACCAGTTAAGCATCACAATATGCTCCTATAATGAGTTTCATTGTAGTTCAAGAGTCACTTTGTGATTTATTGCCCAGAACTACATAAAAAAGGTTGATTTAAAAAAAAAAGAAAAAAAACAAAACAGAGTGTGTCCCTGGGAGGGAACAAGAATGAATTTTGCATAGAAAATGTGGAATTGCTGCAGCTCTGCTTCATTTCCCCACTTGTTTACTTCCTCCTCATAGTCTTTCTTGGAGACAGGGAGTCAAGTCAGTGTGTGCTTTGCCAAGGGGGGCTCCAGGGTCTGCACCTACTGTTTGGTTGCCAGTGCCACAATGCCCAAGCTGTTGAAAGCTTCCAGAGCTTCTGCCACCTCTCAGAGCAGCTGGCAGGCAGCCTGCAGTTGAAAGCCAAGAAAAAGCTATTGGGGTTTTCCTGGGATAAGTCTGTATTTCCATTATTTTCCTTCTTTCTTCTGCACACTTAGGTTCTCTGCTCTTTGCTCTAACCCAGTCCTCCCACTCTGCTGACTTCCATCTGCAGGGAACAGCAGTGAGTGTCCCCCTCCGGGGAACGCTCCGGATGACACCGTGTGCGTGGACATGGGGAAGTGCAAGGATGGGGAGTGCGTCCCTTTCTGCGAGAGGGAGAAGAACCTGCGGTCCTGTGCTTGCAATGGTGGGTGACACAGCCTGAACTGAAACGGGACTGGGACTGAAATTTGTATTTCATCTCTGCTCCTTGGAGAGTGCTGTCTTCATGTGGGCTGGCCTCTTGGAGGGCTGAGTTTGTGGTTTCTGGAAAAGTTTGAACTGCTGGGTTTTGTCAGCTGTTCTCTGTTTAAAAAGGGAATGTGAATGTCCTCCTGTCTTCTGATGGTTTGGGTTGAATTAAAATGAGACTCAGGCTCTGACACTCCAGCTAAAGGAGAGGACACTCTCCTACTTTCCAGCTCTGCCACAGATGGATAAGAAGGGATTGTAAGGAGATTCCTGCCAACCTCTGGATCTAGCATCTGGCAGAGAAGCAGTGGCCTCCAGCAAGGGATTAAATAAAGATTTCAAAGAGATTAAAGTGCCTTGAGAATATAGAATCCCCAGCTTAATTCCCCTGCTAACCTCCCTGCCATATACTTCTGCATGTGACTTTTCCTGCTTCTTTGCTGTCCATATTATCCCCTAAATGTGGGAAAGCAGCTGGGAGTAGGATGAAAGCTTCATAGGGGCAACAGAAGGAATTGCTGTGAGCCCCACTGTTTGAGATGGAGGAGACAGCTGGATAGCTGAGGAGACAGGTGCCTAGAGGACTCAGAGCCCAAGAAATATTTTGTCTTTTTGGATGTGCTTGGAACCTCTTCATTGGCCTGTTGATTCATGCAGTTTTGGGGTATCAGCTTGGAGAACTTGGTCCCACTGTACCCCTTAATATGTTCCACAGGGCACATGATTGAGTTTTAGGCTTGATTGTCATAGTGCCCAAAATTGGGCAGCTTGGTCCTGCTTTCCGTGTGGGGAAGCTGGTCAGGACTATGCTCAGCCAGGAGACACAGGGGGTTGTGGTTTGCTTTGTGCTTCCAAGGAATGAGTTTGCTGCTTTGTTTCAGAAACTGATAATTCCTGCAAGGTGTGCTGCCGGGATGAGCAGGACAGGTGCACGCCATACGTGGATGCCAACGACCAGTTCCTGTTCCTGCGCAAGGGCAAGCCTTGCACTGTGGGGTTCTGTGACACAAATGTAAGTGTGCCCAGCTCTGCTCTGCTCAGGGTCTGAGTCCTCAGGGAGGAGGACTGTGCTGGGGAAGAGAAGCCAAAGCTTGAGCAGGGTAATGAGTTTTAACTCTTAATGGGGTAAATATTAGAGAGCGTTGGAGGCTGTGGGTGTTGGAGTTCTGCAGAGACCCATGCAAGGGGAAGCTGTTACCTTCTGGAGCTGCTCATTACCCCCTCTGCTGCTCCCCACAGCTCAGCCAGGGACCCTGCACAGCTCAGCAGCCTGGCACCCTGCACAAAGGAGGAGACAGCGCTGCTGTAAGCTCGGTTAGGTTTGCAGCACTTGCCTTTTCAGTTGTTCCTGTTGGCCCAATTAGTTTTCATTCCAATAATTCAGGTCAGAGAGCAATCCCATGAAAATCCAGCCAGCAGTATCTGAAGTGTGGCAGTGAGCCTGTGGCAGCGAGACTGGTGGCTTACTGGCATTCAGTGGCCTTTTCTATGGTACAGCTGCACAGACACCTGCAGAACCCAGTGGCTGGAGCTAAACTGGGTGTTAGCAAAAGTGAACTTGGAAGGGCATGTCCCAGTCCTTCTGCTGGCAGAACTGGAAGATCAGACTTCTACTGTGTTAAACCAGCACAGCCAAATCTGAGAGTGAGTTTGTCTGTAACCTTGGACTCTTGAGAGCTGTAGCCTTCTTTGTGGATAATGGGAACTGAGGCTTCCAATGTTTAAATCTCTCCAGAAACATCAGTTTTATGTCCCCTAACATGGGCCAAAGGTGGACTAGATTTTGCACATTTCAAACAAAAAAATTATCTGATTCAGACCACAATTGAATTGAAACTGGCTTGATAAAAATAAAGGCAGTAAAAGTGGACTGCTGCTATTGGACATGAGTGTAATTCTGTATTCAGAATGTAAGTGAAGTCATGCTGTGTCTGTAGTTCTCATTTCATTACTATCATTGTACTTTCCTCTCCAAGAAGGCAGTACTTAATTCTTGGGTAGCATAAGCTTATTTGGTTACTTTTGCAGGGCAAATGCGAGAAGCAAGTACAGGATGTGATTGAACGATTTTGGGATTTCATAGACCAACTCAGCATCAATACTTTTGGTAAGATACATAATCATATCCTTTGGGGATTTTTGAGTTCATGACATGAACCTCTAAAGCCTCAGGGGGAGTTAGCTGCCTGGATTTATTCACCGTGTGCAAGGGTAGCACAGCTGTGCTTGTGATATATTTAAGTATATTTTTGCCTGAAGTTTGACACTACTGATCTCACCTTTTAAAGCTGAAAGGATGGGAGATTGTTTTGCATTTTTGTACTCCATTTTTTTCTAGGCATCTTCCAAGGTTCTTGTCTGAATACTAAGAACTAGGTCAATTAGAGAAAAGGAAATAACAGTCTCTTTAGAGGTTAGGTAAATTCAGCAGGTATAAAGTGGGCCTCTCAGTGGGATTTAAATGTCAACAGAAGGGGAGGGGAACACTTCCTTTCTCTGTCATTTAAGAAAACCAGAGGTCACACACCTCAAGCTGTGTCTGTGCAGAGTCACTCCCTGGGACAGAGTGGGCCTCCTTGGTCTTGATCCCAGCTGTGCAACCTAAGCAGGTGTCACCTCACCCCAGGTGTCACCCCTAATGTCTCTGTTAGTGGCACCAGGCAAAACTCGTGGTGGTTAACTGGTGCTGTATCATGAGCTCTAACTGTGTGTGCTCATGGCACCGCTGTCCCTGCACAGTGCAATTATCTGAGCTGCAGCTTTTCATTTCAAGTTTCAGGGACAAAAATTGTTTATGAGGTAGCTGATAAAGCTGTTTAGCCTGCTTGGATAAAGGCAGTTTTTGAATCTTTGACATCCAAATATTTTGTTTGTGGAGGCAGGTAGAGATCATATGACTGTTGCATCAGAATTTGGTAGTGGACTCACAGCATGTCTTGTATAAGCTTGGCTGGCTCAGTATAGGCTGTTCCAAAACAACCCATATTCAGTATTAGAGCCTCAGCATTTCTCTTCAGAGAACAACAGAGAAAAACCTGTTATTGTTAACATACTGGATAGAATTTTTTTAAATTGTGTGATTTTATCTTTGTCTGCTCCAAAGCAGGCAACCTGTGCTTCTCTAAGCAATTCTGAGCCTTCAGTTGCCTGAACAGTGGCTGCAGAAGGGGGGATCATAGATGTGTGTGTTCATGAAACTGTATTTGGGTAACTGACAGATCTGAACTGGTTTCACAGGGAAATTCCTAGCAGATAATATAGTGGGCTCTGTGCTTGTCTTCTCCTTACTGTTTTGGATTCCTCTCAGCATCCTTGTGCACTGTGTGGTGAGTAAGCTGTCTTTGAGATGACTGCTCTGTTGGATTTTGCTAGGAGAACACCCTTCATATGGGAAGTGGCAGATGGCTGTGGGAGAAATGATGAGAAGCTTTTAGCAAACCCTGGGGGGAAATCCAGCATATGTAAGGCTTACTGCTCCTTCAGTAGGGAAAACTCTTGCTAAACTCTGCCAGGCTCTGGCAGACCCAGTGCTCCCATGACTATTCCCTGGAGCCTTTCCCATCCTTTCCCAGGCAGATTTTCTTTCTCTGCCTTCTGAGTTCCACCCAAGTATAATTTTGTTATTTTTATCATTAAAAACAAAGTCTTCTAAAGCCCTGTGAAGAAATGACACCCACATATTGAGAGAAGACCTGGAGTGGGAAGTGATCTTAGTTGATTTTGGGTGGATGGGTAAAGAGAGTCAGTGAGCTCATGGCCACTGGGAGTGTGGATATGTGGTGTGCTGCTGACAGCAGTGTGGGCCCTAGAGCAAAGGGGTGCTGTGCCTACAGGCACTCCTGGGATGAATGGGAAGGCATGGGAAGTAGGGGAGCCCTACAAAGTGATGAGTCCCTGCTGGAAAAAGGAGTCTTTGCCTTTGGGAAATTAACTTTCTTATTTTGTTGTGTGTTTTTCAATAGGACAAGAAATTGGACAAGCAGTATGAGGAGAACACAAAGTCCCTGTTTTGCCCCAGTGTAAGTTGCTATCCAAGTCTGAATTGGCAGAATGCTCTCCCATGTGTATTGGAAAAACAGAACCTCAGGTGTCTGCAGAATGTCTACCAAAAGTGTAGTAAGAGAGAGCCCCAGAGCCCCGTGCTGCAGAGGGCTGAATCCGTGAGAGGGGAAGCTGGTTTCTGAACAAGCCTCTGTTCACTCTTACAAAGCACTGCAGCATGGAAGGGTCTGATTCTCCCTTCCTGTAAGAGCTGAGCCTTGTTGGCAGAACTCTCTGGTGCAGCAGAGAGGGGCAGGAACTCTGCCCTGCAGAGCACAGCTTCACCCGTGTCCGGCATCCCCTCGGCACGGTGCACTCAGCAGCACCAGCCACAGGCTGCTTCTTCCCAGCCAAGTGGAGTCACTGAAGCATGAGGCCCAAAAATCTCTGCAAAATGCAGTGTCTGCTGCAGAATGGCTGTTTGCAGGAGGTGCCTTCTAGCAGCCAGATGTGCTACAGCCCTCCAGTTGCTCCAGTGTCACATCAGTGGCACTTCTCACATTGCAGATAATGAGCTGGGAAGAGGGGAAGAGCAAAAAAGTACCAAGATAAATTTTAATTACAGTCCAGCACAGGGCACCTTGTGACAGAGTTTTGGATATCCTTTCCTGTGCTTTGACAATCCAGTTCCTATTAAGAACTAAATATTAAGGAAAAGTTGTTCTGTTAGGTGAGGGGGGAGAAGCCTTGCAGAGCTTTTCCTTGTACAACCATTGCAAGAAGCATACTGGAGTTGGAGACTACTGAGGCAGAGTGCCTCTGTCATCTACTGTGACAGAACTGAGGGTGATCTTAGTTTGAGTGCCCCATAGCTGTGACATGAGAAAAGTTATCTTAGTGCTTCTTACCTGCATTCAGTTGAGAAAATCCCAGAGGCAGGAGAGAGAGCACAGGTATAGCCAATGGTCTCCTTGCACTGGCAACAGTTTAACAAACAAATTTTGTGTCTTTTAAATCTGCTGAGGATGGAGAATTGGGAGATGGTAAACATCTCTTTCTTCCCAGTATTAGCATTTGCTGAAGTCCTTGGGGAATTTTTATGATTAAAGATCTCTGGATATTTTCCAAACCATGCTGAAATAGTAGCAGACATCAATGGACTTGAACTTAATCTGGGTTAAGTTACAATGACACTGATCCCTGTAGTGTTTGACCCTGTGTTCAGGGAAGTTCTTGTACATGAAACCATGAACCAAGTTGGAGGACTGGAATAAGCTGTACCTTGGATTGTTTCCCTACACTGAGCTCTGTGCCATGTGGCTTGACCCTGCATTTCTAGTCCTAGGTTTGCCAAAGCAGTTTGGGCCCCAGGAAGGAAGGGCGGACTCAGCAGCTCTTCCCAGCGAGGCTGTCACGTGTGGTGCTTTATAGAGGAAGCAGCAGAGACACAACAGCCTTTCTGCCTTTAGAGATGGCACAGAGGACATGGCAGCCTTTAAGCTGCTCTAACAGAAGCGCAGCTGCTCCTCAGAACGTGCCTCCTCCCTTTGAAAAATGCTGCAAAAACTGCAGCCTGGGCTAGGTGCTGGTTGCTTTTGCCAGTGATGTGGCCTCTTGTGTCTTGCAGAACGTGGAGATGCTCAGCAGCCTGGACTCGGCCTCTGTTCGCATCATCAAGCCGTTCCCCGCGGCGCAGGCCACGAGCCGGCACCAGCCGCTGCAGCCCCTGACGCCCGCGCCCGCGCCGCCCAAGCAGGACCACCAGAGGATGGACACCATCCAGGAGGACCCCAGCACCGACTCGCACATCGACGAGGACGCCTTTGACAAGGACCCTTTCCCAAACAGCAGCTCTGCCGCCAAATCTTTCGAGGACTTGACAGACCATCCTGTCATTAGGAGTGAGAAAGCTTCATCCTTCAAACTACAGCGCCAGAACCGGGTGGACAGCAAAGAAACAGAGTGCTAGTGTCCTGCTGCCCTCTAAATGTATGAGTTGTGTCGGCAAAATAAGGATCTGAAACCATTTCATTTCTATAAATATAAATATATGTATATATATTTTTGTGAGGGAGTGGGAGAATAAGGAAGTGACCTACTGCAGATGCTGGTCATGTGTATGACCTTCCTTAAACTACATTTATTAGAGCATTATATCTTTTAAAAAGGAAAATCCAAACTAGAACTGGCTTGTTTTTGAAGCTTTTTGGATTTGTTTTTCTACTTCCTTGACCTTTAACATTTCCTTCGACCTGTGGTGCAAAACCAAATATCCTGATGGATATTGGATTATGTATATCAGCCTTTTTTTATAATTTAATATTTTGTAGTCTACAGCACTGATAGACAAAATTAAGGGGCTTTTAAAACCAAAAGATAATTAAGGTACATGTAACCAAAAGCCTAAGCAAATGCCTTGAGAACAGAGAGTAATGAAACAGATAAAAATACAGTCTCGCAGCATTCAGTAAAATGCATAATCAGAATAAGGAACCTTAAAACACCCAGCTTCTGTATAAATAAAAGGATCACAGAGGTTGTTACACTGTACACAGTGCATGGGAAATGCTCCTTTAGCAGCTGTCCTGTCTTGGTGGCTTTTGTTAGGAGCTTCCCACTCTACACTGAGGTTTGTGTGTTGCAGGTGTCTGGTTGGAGATCGAAACATAAAAGAAATAATTTATGCAGATGACATTTTAAACTGCTGTTTTACAGCAGTTTTGGTGCAGAAATGTTTCTCCAAATGTTATTTTAAAACAGGCGACACTATTGCTGGAATGTTCAAATTAGTGACCTGTTTTCTGTGGTCTCTGTGGCCTTTAAAAGCTCCTACTGCATGAGTGATGGGAAAAACTCACTCCATCGCAGGGAGTGAGGGGAGGCATTTAAAAACAATTGTGAATTTAGTAAAGAAATAAACCTTTTTTAAAACTTGCAGGGTAAGTACAAGGAGGAGATTTTGTGAATACAGATACTCACAAGCTGATAATTGGATGGTGTCTTCTGTACACCTGGAGATCTCTCAGGTGAGCTGGGACTGGCACATGAGCATTGTTTTAGTTTAGAAGCAGATGGACTGACACAGTGGAGTCAGAGCAACTGTCCTGCTAGTACAGCAGCACCTTCACTCTGCAGCTGTTTTCTCCTACAATAATCTGTTGATAAAACTGGCAGAACATGGCCAAGGGCAGGACCATTTAACTCTTACAAGCCTGGACTCAGACACAGGGATGTGAGGCTGTGGTGAGCCCGTATTTTTAAATGTGAGGCGAAAGGACTGAACCTGTGCTGCAAAGTTGTGTGAGTGCTCTCTCTCCTCCACATCCAAGGATACTTGTTACACTAGTTACTTGAATGTGTGCCTTATGGTATTCCTATCTGACTAGCTATTATGTTTTATATGCTGGTTTTGAACTTTGTTTTGGGGTTGTTTGGTTTTCGTTCGGGTTTTCTGTTTTTTGATTCAGTGCAAAGTACAAGTGTGAGGAGTTAATTTAATTCCCAACAAAATAAAAGCTTTTTATAATAAAAAAATCAGTTAACCAAGAACTGTTTCTATGTAGTCCTTTTCTAAAAGATCTCTATTGTCTGGTTGTCAAAACCTGGGTTAAGTCTGTCATGCAGGAGCCAGGCTTTCTGCCTGCTCCTTTCCGAGCTCAGATGCTACAGAGGCCAGACCTGGACTATCAATGGCGCAGACCTGCACTGTGAGGGCTGCCTGCTTCCTCCCAGGCTGAAGCTGGTACTGCCACGGCTCCTGCAGATTATCACCAGTTCAGATGGTGACAAGTGCCTGAGGGATGGGGGTGTGCTCAAATGCCTGTTCAGCCACCAAATCTGTGAGTACATGTTCGCAGCACAAAGATCTGTACATCCCAGGTGAAAACCATTCAGTGGCAGGTGCTTGGGATCATGAGAATGGAGATTTGAAGCAGGCCTTGGAAACCACTGAATCCATCCCCCAGCCTGAGCTGTATTCCAGAAACTGAAAGCAGTACTTGCATGGTTTGTTCGTAACATCTAAGGCAGGAAGATCCACACCTTCCCACTGGGAACCGCTTTTGCTGTTCAGCCAGTCTGTACTGTAAGCATTACAGAAAGGATAGTCCAGTTTAATACTCATAAATATTTATATATCAAACTCACTTCTGTGCTGGTTCCAGGCACATGAAAAATACTTATGGTTCAGTTTATAACACTGTTACATAGTAGATGACAGATCTTGGCCAGTTTGTCTTAATGATTTCACAAAGCAAAGGCAGTCTAATGGCACTAACAGTGCAGGACAGCATGAGAGCCTCTCATTACTCTCACCCCCTACACGATAAGCACACTTGTTCCATGTCAATGTAACTGTTAATACAGCCCAGAAGTATGGAGGGGTTATATTTGCAGTGATACACCATTTGATTTTTATGAATGGTTAGTTGTAGCCTCGTTTTTGCTGCTATCTGGCTTGCTAGACAACCCATTTTTTCCACACTTGTTGAATTTCATTTAGATTGCAGACAATGTTTTTTGGTTTTTTGTTTGTTTGTTTGTTTGTAAAGGCAGTTTTGTTGTTTGTGTTTTCTTGGCCAAAACCTGCATAGTCTGCAGCCCTTATCTGTTACATGAGTTGTAAAATTACTTTAACAACTCACCTGAAAGGTCTTCTTAACTTGATGGCAAATGACATACAGTGCAGCTTTGTCAGCAGAGATACAGACCTTTTCTAGTAGTTTCTCCAAGGTCATCTATCACCAGTCTTATATTGCCCAAAAACATGCACTGGTCTGAAACCTGTGCCTATACAGAAGAGCTGAGTATAAAGAAGCTGCTGCTGGTGCCAGAGTAAATTAAATTTTAAAAGCCCTGTTCTAAACTACTCTCTATCACTCACTACCAAAGCCACAGTAAAATTTAGGGGACTGCTGTTCCTGCTGTATTACATCCAAATAAATTAATTTGGACTGACACTAATGGCTCTTGACAAACTCCACACTACTGCCTCTTATGAGCTACTCTGTGTTTAAAGCAAGTAGCTGTTACTAATCATAGTGCAGTCCTCAAAGCTCAGCAAAGCCAGGAACTGCTGAGGGCAGCCTCTATCCCTTGGCCACATCACAGCTGAGACTCATTTTCTTCTGAGTCCTCCAGCAAAGAGCTACTTATCCCCACAGCTATCCTGGCAACAGCAGCATAAGAAAAACCACCTCAGGACACCCCCCAAGTGGTCTCACGTTTATTCTCCCCCAGACCAAGAGAAGGGGACAGAGAAGAGCATTGCTGGGGACTCCCCAGTGCCGTGTTCCCTGAGGATACAGTTTGCAGCACCTTGCTGCATAATGAGCTGGCTCTGCCTGGCGTGGCTGCCCCGGCTCCTCCCTGCAGGGATGTCACAGAAGACTGGCCTCGGGGTTCATGTGGTCCACGTCACGCCAATAAGGAAGCAGAGAAGGAAGAGAAGACAGTTTGTTCTCCAGGCGTGACCAAAGCTGAGCTGCCAGAAAGCTGTTGCCTTTTGTTGATAAATGAAGGCCATCAGACAAATAGGAAGAGAAATCCTACAAGCGAGGTTAAAACCATGTATTAGTGTATTTGCTAGCTAAAGGAGACAGTCTTCAGTAATTCTTCAAAGCCAGCTAGCAAACTGGTTTTATTTTCCACTGTTTATGTTAAAATATTAAGAGAATGTTCTGATGGCCAAAATCACTGCTATTCATCAGTAAAAGATCATAGGATTAAGTGATGCAATCAAAATGAGCAGTCTACTGAACTGGGGAGGACAGGGGAGGGAAAAGGTTCAGGATCCAAACTGGAGTTATCTGATCACAGGAAAAGTCTGCAGTCTCCCATAAATGAGTTTGGGTATTTGGTCAGAAGCATCAGCAACACTCTTGTGCAGCCAGATCTGACCTTGAAATTAGCCCAACACTGCACAGTGGGTTGGACAAGAAAGAAACCTACAGAGGCTCCTTCCAACCTAAACTCTTCTATGACTCAAATTCAAGAAAAAGGCTATTTAGATATAATGTACTTGGGATATTTGCTAGCCAAGCACCATGGCCAGGTTATATATAGCTTTATTTCTCATTGCCAACTATGAAGCAACCTGGATTATTTTTTTCCTCCCTAAAGTGTAATTTGGATGTATTTTGTAGCATTTCAGTGATATGCAGCACCACTGGTTCCTCTATGCTAAACGATGCATTTCACAATTTGTGACAGTTTCAATTATTTCCGATTTCATCGTACCTGATTCTTCTGCATGAGGGTCCAGAGGTCGAGCACGTCCGTGCCGCATTCCCTGGCGACCTGGACGCAGGCCTGGGCGTACTGCCCGGTGGTGGCATTGCAGCGGTTCAGTTTGTCACCTACCGACACAAAGAAAACATCCAGCACCCGCCACTGATGCAGCACAATTTCAGTCTTCTGTGGCACACACCACACGTTTCAGGTGTTAAACCTGCACACATAACCAATAACAAACTAAATACAAAGCCTGGCAATGCAAACGACTGGAAGCCGCAGTCTATGTGGTCTTTTTCAGGGCACCCTTTGGTTCTGAGTCACTTGAAAATGTCTCTTTGGAAGAAATGCATCAGGTTGAGAGAGAAGCAACAGAAACAAGCAGACAGTATAATTCTGCTGCTCACAGCTCTCACCTTCTGGCAAGCTTCAGGTGAAAGCAGTGCTTAGATTTAAAACTCTTCATACACCTGCTAAGGCAGGTAAAACAGAGTTAAGTAAATGGAAATCTATTTACAAGATGAGTTCTGCTTTTTGTCTGACTCCACATGCAACTGCTCCTCGCAGTAGCCCTCTTGCTACTTTTTGCACCTGGATGAATGCTCCTGTGAACATCACCATCCTCCTGCTTCCCATCTCTCCCTCGCTCTGGTATCTGTCTGAAAAAAATTAGAAACAGGCAGAAAATTTCTCCTCGATACTGGAGGGCAGATGGTCTGATATTGCTGCTTACTGTGCCCACAATACTTCACTTGTGGTCCGAGATCACCCTGTCTTTTGTTCCATCCCTAGATAGTACCCTCTTTTAGATAGATGCTGGCAGATTCAATGCCATAAATTCAAGTTTCCTCCCCTCCTACCCCATAAAAAGGACAGTCTTAAGAGGAAAATGCGTTAACATTACAAGTGCTCCTTGACAGCTGGGAGCCAGATAAGCAGCATTTGAGGTGTGCTCACATGACATCACATCAAAGCCTCCTAATGCAAAATCGTACAATGTCCAATTTAATCCAGTTTAAATTTAGGGTAATCTTAAAAGTTTTACTGCTTTGATTGAAAACATGACTCAGGATATGTAACACCACCTAAATTATAGAAAACTGTGCCACAAAGGTACCACCCCTGTAGATCTCTGTACTACGTATTTATACCTGACCTAACTCAAAAGTTTTTTATTAATGTGCAAGAACTGGACAAGGTGTCCCAACAGAAAAGAGAACATGCTCTCAGGACATATAAACTGTCACAGCTGGAGTCAGTGGGATTATGGCAATTTCCACCAGCTCAGTAACACAAAGTAAGTGGTGCTATTATGTCTCTAATTTTAGAATTAGCTTAAATAACATGGGAAATAATTTAACTACCTTTTTTCTTCTTTTTCAGGCACTTTTATTAGCATCCTTAGAATATGATGTTCTCTGGTATTGTTTTTTTTAACTTTAAAATAAACCTGGCTGGGATATTACTGCTTATCCAAACAGATGGGAAATCTGCTGTACCCAGTAAAAACTTTTCTAAAGCCCACAGTGCCAACATTTCTTAAATTATTTGTATTATTCTGGAAGCTGCTGGGACACAATGGAATCTGCCTAGGAGACATTGACAAACCCCATGTTCTTAGAGGGCAGCCACTTCTGACAACTCTATGCATTAACAGATCAATCAACACTTTGGAAAAGATATTTGTAAATACTTGGTAGTTACAAAATAATTACTATAAATTAAAATAATTACTTACTCCATGAGCTTATCCAGAAGTTGATCAGTAAAACAGCAGCCCTTTTCCAACTAGTCAAAGAATATGACTACAAAATGGCACACACATGAAGGAAACCACCTGACAACCTGGGATCTGTCACTTACACTCCACTGGTAAAATGCAGAAATTCCACCCATCCTCATCACTCCTTTACCTTTGGCAAGACATGCCTTTTCCCATGCTGATTCCTGAAGAGGTGGTGGTGTTATCAAAATAATCCTGTCCGCAGTAATGTCTACTGACTTCAGGTACTGCACCATGCTCCGCAGGTTGGCGGCGTACTCCTCCAAGGGAACGTGCTGCTTGGGGTTCAGCTCTGTCAGGGGAGGAGCAGTGCACCAGTGGGGCTGAGCTCCCTGCAGGCTTCCCTACAGCATAACAGACTTCTACACAGTATGGCCACGGACACTCATTTCCAGTATGCAGCACCTCTCAATCACGCAATTGGGAGGTGTGGTAGGAAAGTTCTGTTCCTCAATACCCAAAGCAGACAAATCAAGAGTTTAAAGACAGCATTTCCAACAAGCAAATAAGGCACAGGGGGAAAAAAAACCCCAACAGCTGGGTTTTTTTAAGATGCTTTTTTTATAACTTCATATCATAGTATCAGAAAATATAATCACCTCAAACCTCATCTGAACCAAAACCTGAGATTTCCAATATTCTTGGATGCAGAGAAAATTTTGAAAAGTCCCATGGACCTACAGTCAGTCCTTGATGCACTGATATTATTATCATTTTGATTAGACTCTGCATCCTGCTATGCTCATCTGAAAGAGAATCCAAATGCTACCTTCTCTCCTTTCCTCAGCCCATCTGCCTCATCAGTCTCCTTTAAAGACAGAAGAAACAACTGGGTGCCCAACTCCAATTTTAGGCAACTGCTACACAACTAAGTCTTGAGCATCTTGAAATTTATTTTTCTAGTATTAAAACTTAGTGATAGGGAGAGAAATGGAAGGCACTGCATGGTTTAAATACAAATGAAATGACAGAAAGCAAACCTCTGTATAAATTAAGAGAGAGTAATCAGTTCCTGGAGAACTAGCAGGAAAAGCCTGTTCTGAAACGTTCTGCCTATTCTGCTAAACTGTAAAACTGTTTTAAGAGAACAGGTCACAGGAAAAAAAGAGAGAAAGCAAGCTACTCTACCTTTCAAAGCACTGTCATTAGCTCCAAAGAAAATAGTAACTGCAGCAATACTGTCAGCACTAGTACTTTCAGTGATCAGTCTTGGAAGAATCAATTTAGCCCATCTGGTGTTGTACCCCGAGATCCCACGGTTCACAACATCACACTTTCTGAAACAGAGACACATATCAAAAAAAAATCTCTCCTCTGTCCACCAAAACAAAACTTTGGAAGGTTTGAACCATTTCTGTCAAGCCATCTGCCTCCATCCCTCTCAGGAAAAATGAGATGTCACATGAGTTTTCAATGGGATCACGCTTTGAAAGTTCACACACATGTACTGTTTACCTGTTACACCACGGAACCAAGACAATAATCCTGACAATCACTAAGGAATTTTTAATTTCCACTCAAGCTTTGTGTGGAAACACCCAATAAGTATTTTCACCAGTTCTGGGCATGCTGCCCAGAAGGCAATTTCACTTCACTAAATAAATAAATGTCAATAAATAAACCTGCATTAAATATTAACCGCTGTTGGTTTTCATTTACAAAAGCTGCATGACTTTCTGCAAGCTAGAAATTACTTTTGAAATTTAAGCTCTTACCTGACCAGTCTCTCAGCAAGGTATGCCCCCCAGCCATTTTCCTGGAAGGAGTACTGAAAACAAGGAAAATGGTTAGATCCTCACTGGAAGAACTTGTTCCAAAGAGCTTAGCCCCACCACTGGCACCTTCCCACCTCAAGAGCTTCTGTGCATGGCCTCTGGCACTGCTGCTGGTGCATTTCCTCCCTGCCCTGTCCCTCTGAGGTCAAACAGTCCTCGTTTTACCCAGGTGCACCACTGAGGCACACGGGGCTGGTACCTCTGCAGGGATGGACCCTGTGGTCCCTTCAAAATCCAAACTGACCACTGCTCGACTGTAGTTTCATTCTGGCCAGCAAGGGTTTGAATATTTTTCTACTTTATTTGTAAGATCCTTTCATTCTGAAAGGCACCTCTCAAAAATCCTCCCTCTTCGTGGAGTTCAGTTTAACCTCCTCCAGAAACAGGAAAACTAATTCCTCCTCCTTATTCCCACTGCGGCACCATCCTCTGTGCTACAGTTCTGCACAGTGAAGTCGGCTTAGACACCCATCTCCCATTAAGGATAAACCTGGTCTCTGGCTTTAGTTTTTCCTCAGAGCAGTCCCGTGACCTACCACACAACCCACCCAAGAGAAGGCAGGGACCCAAAATCAGTGCGGAACAGCTGGTGCTGCCTCAGAGATGCTCCCCAGGCGCGGCCACCTCAGTGGAGAAGCTGTGCCGGGGCTGGGCGAGCCAGGCACGGGGAGCAGGGCTGCACCAGGAGCGGCGAGGGCAGAGCTCGGCTCCCCGCAGGGGCGCGGGCAGCCCGCTGGGCCCCTGGATGGAAACACCCTCGGCGCCCTAACGCAGCGATCCCGCGGTTTCTGCGGGACGGCTCCAAACGCCACATCCGCCACCGGCGCGCAGGCCGCAGGCAGGGGCTCACGGCGGGACGGGGCTGCGGCCGAGCCACGAGCGCTGCGGCCGCGCCAACGGACCGGCCCCGGCCCGGCCCGGCCCCTTCCCGGTCCCGGTCCCTTCCCGTTCCCGGTCCCTGTCCCGTTCCCTGTCCCCTTCCCGGTCCCTGGCACCGGAGCTCGCAGCAACGCCGGCTCGCTGCCGGGCCGCGGAGCCCCACAGGGGAACGGCGGGCCCGGGGTACCTCGGTGATGGAGTCTCCGAAGAGGAGGACGCGGGGCCAGCGCAGGAGCCGCCCGCGGGCTCCCGCCTCCGCCATGGCCGGGCCGGACACCCGCGGGAGCGGCCGCTTCCTCTGCGGGCAGCGGGGCGGTGCGAGCCCCGGGTACAAAGCGGGCCCGGCTCCGGCCCCGCTCCGCCTCTCGTCGCCTCCTGGAAAGGCTCAGCGGCGCGGGCGGGCGCGCCGGGACCCGCCCCTCACACACCGCCCGCGCGGGCCGCAAGCGCTCCCAAAGAACGCGCGCCATTTCAGGTCTGTACCTGTTTCAAAGACAGGCTTCCTTCTTAAGAAAATGCAATTACCTCATTTAAAAGACTTCATACCGTTTAGCCTGCTAACGACACAATTTGGGGAGGAAAGTGTCGCTAATTTTGCTAATCGTCCAATACTATGAGGATCATCCTCTGGCAACAACTGCAGATACCTCAGAGCATCACCCACGCTGTATTTGGAATTCTGCTGTGTCCTGCAGTGTCTGATATTCCATGCCCCTTTTCCCAGGCCGGGATGGTCACCGACCTGGGGCAGACGAGGCTGTCACACGCCATAAGCACCCACGTCTCCTGCAGGTGGTCGTGTTCTTATAGTCCAGTTAGTGGCATACCTGCAGGCAGAGTTTTAAAGCTCCAACTAACCCCACCATGCAAACATGCATTCCATTTTCAGATGTGTTCAAGACCCTTTTGATTTCAAATAGAGACAAACAAGCAGGCAATCACTTTCTCAACAGGAACCAAATTATACATATGCAAACTCAATATATCAAATTTATCCTCCAAGTGGTTTTAATATTCAAAAATACAAAACTCCATTTAAACTTTGTAATTCTGTATCAGGTTAAGAATTATTTCTTGTATGTGCATGTAACAGAACATATGCACACTTTGCCTGATTTAACTGCATCTATAAACACAAATACAGTTGTTACAAGGTTGCTGATCTATTATGTGAAATAACTCGTCACTTTCGCATTCACAGAATTCAAACCTTTGACTTATTCAAGAAAAAAATCTATTTACTTGTAAAAAATAACTCAAGTAAATTGAAAATTTAGAAGATTTTTTTAGGTATCCTAAGTATCTACAGAGGTCAGTACACAGGGCTGAGGGCATCATAAAGCCTCTGTGCTGCCAGTTCCACCATTTCACGAAGGGATTCGTCATCTTCACTTCCTGGCTCGCAGTCAACTGTCTGGAACAGAGAGAGAAGGATGTTACAACAACAGGCACTTCGTGCTGCCTGCCAGCACACAAAGAATGCTCCCGAGGGGAAACGAAAAACTAGTCATGGAAATTATCAAGAGCAGCAGTGTATATTTTTCAGTGGTCTGCCAGCACATAGAGGAGTTCAGAGAAGAGCTAAGCAAGTCCTGCTGAGGAGCAAGAAGCTTAATTTTGAGTCTTATGCTCAAAACTGCTATGTAAAATGCACTAAATTTTGTGGATTACATTTGATTTGAAATCAAATGTAATCAAAAATCACAAAAGATTAAGTTCCTGGAGATTTCGCTTTATCTGTATATTCACTCATACTGTATTAGGTTAACACTGCAAAACACATGCAGTCACTAGAAGTAGAGGCACCACACTGATGTTCCCACACACATTATGACATTTACACAAGAATAACCAAAATAAATTTATTTTTTACTAAAACAAATTTTCCTAGAGAAAGATGCCCACCCCAAACATGAAACTTGGTCTACATTCCTGACTGCTATACCTCAGAAACAAAGGGCAGCATTGGAGTAATAATACTGTTCTTGGTCCTGTGGCCTTTCTAGAGTCTAAGACTATACCTCCTTTAATTCAGTAATAACTTGTTACTCTTCTGATTTTTCCATCCATAAAGGCTTCGGGTGAGGGGGGGAAAGGCACTTAAAACAGCAAAAATACATTTAATATTATCTAGAAATGTTATTAAAATCATGTTAACTGTAAGAGCACTGTGTTAACATGGAAAAAAAAATTCCGTGTGTCCCACCAGTCAGATCTATGCTAAACAGCTTTTTATTTTAAAGCAAGTAAGGTTTTATAAGATATATACACATGTAAAGAAGGGCAGATCTGCCTTGTAAAATCTGGTTCACAATGGCACAAGCTTGCCATTGCTAACACAGACTGTACAGTAAGTACTGCAAAGATACACCCTGTTGTAACTGAACTGCCACTGGGGTTTCTGTCTGTATACAAACCTTTTAACAATAATAAGGTATTATAAAAATTAAATCAGAATTCTTGATTAAGCAGTATGCATCCTTTTCCAGTCTAGTTACTTTCTGCTTTATTTCAAGAGTTCTTTCACCAGTCCTTTATTTTTCTATACTATGTACAAACTGAAATATAGGATTTCTTATTAAAGAATTGAAAAAAGATGGCACAAGTTGTGTGTTAGCCACTGTTACTATTAAGGTAATTAACATTCATTTGTTTTGTTTCAATAGGTAACAAATTTTTGGCACGGGCTAACCTTTTCTTCTGGGTTTGTAGAACACAAAACATTTGTTGTGACCCCTTAAAGAAAGCATGTGAGATGTGCTCTGTAGAATGAATTTATATTACATTATTGCTATGAACAGAGGCAATATATAAGCTATGTTTAATATGTTATTAGTAATGACAAAGTCAACATATTAAAATGCTTAAGAACATGAAGGACATGGCTTTAACCATTCTTTCCAGTTTTAAATTTTTCAAAATACTAGGTATGATGGCTTCTTAAAGCACCCTTCTAACATGCATGAAATCCAATTCTGTAAGATAGTAAATTAATAAAATATTTATTTTTGTGTGTATTTCAGTTAGCTCCAAAAGGAGGTAAAGATGACAAAAAAAAATATTAACAACATTCCTACCCTGTAACTGTTCAATTATTCAGACCAGAGCCATGCTTTACAAGCATTTAAAAAATGTTAACTACAATGCTTTATTCATTTTTGTAATACAACTGAGCTGCTGAAAAATACTGGGGTTTTTTTCCAAATGTACTGCATTTGTTGCATAAACATTGCTAGCATTTTTTAGTTAAGAATGCTCTCTGTTTTGATACCAAGTACATTTCCTTAGCAAGTGAGTACATGACAGTGTAGGCAGCACTGTGTGCCAGACAGGAGACTGCTGAACACAGCAGACACAGAAGTACTTTGCTTTACATACCCGAGTGTCCAGGGAAATGTTGGCAGTCTTTCCATCCACAGTGATGCACAGCACGGAGTCATCTTTGGAACTCACACAGTCCTCTCCAAACATATCCCTAAAGCAAAGACACGGGAGTGTAAGGTGTGGCCAAACAGCAAATTTAGGTTTTTCTATTGACCCTGAGGTCACTTCGTCAGGTGAGTATCACCTTTCAGGAACAATTATTTAACTCACTCCGATGTAATTAAAAATCTAAATCCTTATTATCAGAGTGGGTATCAAATAACAGGAAAATTTTACCAAAATAATCTCGTCATAAACAAAGGGAAGGATTCCTTTGATTTCAAAAGAGGCAAGATTTCTACACAAGTAACAGAACACATCAGAGCAAGTTTTAAAAGATATGTGATCCAAAGTTGTTTTTGTAAACGATTTGTAGCATAACTTTTGGGACAACTTAAAAATCTGCTTCTGGAAGACAGAACTGGGCCCTGTATTCAAAATTTTAATGGTTCTGAGAACTTTTTACTGTCCCTCTTTCTTTGCTTAGTTCCTAGCCTTCACAGAAATTAGACTGAAATAAATTTGCATGAAGTATTTTTACATAACTATATTTAAACCCTTTTATACTAAGACTGTTCTATTTACATGGTCAACATTACTCATTTTCCTTTAGAAAAATATATACCAACTTACTGAAGCATGATCTCCATTCTCTTCCTATATACATCCATATCTATTTTTTTGGAAATCTTATTTACTGCAGCTGAAAAGAAAAAAAAGAATTTACTTTCACAGGCATTTACTGGGAGGGAAAATGGCTAATTGATAGATGCCATTTACAAACTGCCTTTCCTGAAAAACACTCCAAAAAATAAATAAAGATATGTACGTTTAAACAATTTATTTAAAAAAAGACAGCCAAGGAAATCATGCATTTCCATTATATATTCCTGTACTTACAATATTTTAAAGTAAAAAAATTCACAATTCACCTTCTTTTTACTTCTGTTTATTCTTAACACCCATTACATCTCACATATCCTTTACTTTAAATAGAGAAAATAATCTACAGTTGTTTATAATACCTCCATTATCTCTTATTACATTAAACTACCACATCATGGAGGCTGGGAGAATGAAAATAAAAAATAATAAAACTGGACAGTTTTATTTTATACTGAATGTGAGCAGCAGTAACAAGCACAGATATTCCTGGAATATATTTCAGCACAGAGAATTGAAATAAAAACAGTGCTTTTTTTCAGACCTGGTTTCAAAATTAAGAGGTAGTGTAAACCAAGTAATTTTATTTTGAACATAATTATTTAAGTATTTGATTGTTAAAGAGTCAGAAGTCTGTAGGTAAGGGCAGTTGTGAAAATTGCTAACTTTTCATTGATGGACACAAAAAACTTTAAGTCTTTTGAAAAACTGGTTTCCAATACTTCTAAAGCAGCTGAATAATTCAGAACTCATTGCTAGTAAGTTGCTGCATAATTCTTTGAAAAACTTTACAACTGCAAGTGACCAAGCTTAAATCTTAGTAATAATAAAAAAGCCTAAATAAATATATTGAAATTTACTATTGCTCACATAAGATGCAGTAACTGAATGTACTAAGCAAGATATAATATTATCCTGGAAATGAGGCAAACACAGGCACATGGTCAGCTAAGCAACAATAACTGAAGATATTTTAATTTGATCTCTTTTGATCCTGTGTACATACCCTAAAATACACAATTGCAAGAATTATTTTGAATGTTTTTGCTCCAAATAAGAACAAAAAAATCCTGAAAGAAGCCACACCTGAGATTAGCAGACAAAATCAACACCATAAAACAACATGGGAGATAATGCTAAAAGCCCATAAAAATACAAAGAATTCATTTCAGGGTGGTGAAGGGTGGAGAATCTAGATACTGTCACTAACAAATCATACAGAGAAAGTGTGGACTATGAAAAAACAGGGTAAAACAGATATTACAATACGAAATAAAAAACATTAGCAAAACAGCAAAAC